TAAGAGCTCAGGAGTGCCCTGGTGATGTGTTATTTATGTAGACACATTCTACTCTGGGCTGTCTTTATCTCCCATATACACAAAATGAAGTATAAAATACATTCAGTGCTTGGACAGTTATGTAAAAAGCACAATCATTGGATCCATTTATCTGGCTATTGCTGAAAAAGGCAGACTTTTAACTTACATTTTTTACCCATTTCTCATTTCTTCACATTGTCTGTGTAAATGCCTCGGCAAATGCATTTTACCTCAAGGGAAATTGAGTTGCTCAAATTGGAAGAAGAAAAACCTTCGTAAGGAACAAGTTCTATCTTGTGTTTACCGATTCCTGAGATCAGATATGAGGAACCATGTTTTGATAACACTACTTGAGAGCCTTGTACTTGACAATGTCATATGTTGACACACATATGAACGTTGGGAAATAGATTGCTAAAGTCATAAAGGTAAAAATAATCTTCATAAAAGATTTTGACTTCTATATATCAAAAAGCCAGCTGAAAGGAAAACAAGAGCTTATGGAAATGTAATTTTAGCATGCATAATATAGAGTTATTGTTACATAGCCTTGTGCAACATTATTTTTTAAAACCAACATGTTGAAACTTACTGGTTCTACAAAAGAAACAATACACACACACACACACACACACACACACACACACACAACAATTTTTTTACCTACAAGGCAATTTCAATATCTACTTTTCTTGAGCATATTATTTATAGTCTATATGCGTTTTATTTGTTAACTTATTTCCCAGCTTTATTGAGATATACTTTGCATGTTGTATAAGTTTAAGGTGTACAGCATAATGACTTTATATAAAGCAAAACAATCACCATCATAAGTTTAGTTACTATCCATCACCACACATAGCTATACCCTTTTTTCTTGCGATAAGAATTTTAAGGATTTACTTTCTTAGCACCTGTCAAATATTCAACTGCTTGTGTTTTTAAACTGATAGGATGCTTTTCATTCATGTATTTATTCTGCAAATAGGTTCCCTGAGGACAGGGAAAAAGGCTGGGTAAAGGAGAATTATGAAGGGACTGTTGCTCCATTCCCTGAGGAAAGTGGTGGTGACTAGGACTAGAGTTACAGCAGTGGGAAGGAACAAAGTGGACAGGCATGTGTGTGAGTTCTTTCAGGGTGAATATCAGAGACTGATGATGGATGGAATATGTGGGAAGAAGGACAGGAATCAAAGGTGATGGTGCTTGAGCATCTGGTCATGCCAATCACTGAGAGCGAGGAAGAGAGGAGGAGGAACAGGTGGAGGTGGGGTGGGGTGATGATGAGCTCAGTTGGGAACATATTAAGTTTGTGAAACTTATGGACCATCCAAGTGCAGATGAAAGTAAGTTGGCAGTATGCATCAACTGTCATAAAAATGTTTCCACTTCTAGGCATCTCTTCTAAGATAGTAACACTAAAGAGTTTGCACAGAGATAGTCTTTGCAATATTATTTATAACATCAAAAAATTGGAAGCAACTTACATGTCCAACTCTGAAATAATTGCCAAATAACTCATGTGCACTTAAAAATTATGTTGCCTGACATCTATAATTACAAAGAGTATGCAATATGGAAAACGTTTATGATACATTAAGTGAAAAAAGATACAAAATTATATTTTATAGACAATTGTAATTAGGTTAAAATATATGCATTTGAAAAATATGCTGCATAGTAAATTGGAAAATGAAAATAGTTATCTTGATAATATTAATTAATTCTGTTTTTATATCCCAAGTTTTATGTAATGTTTTATGTTGCTTTTTAATTTGAGAAAAAAATAAGCTTTTCAAAGCACCAAAAACATATGTTTATGCCCACTTATATTATCTTGAAGTGTATTAATTTAAAAAATATCAATCATGAATGCAAATCAGTGTCATGTTAAAGAGGACCGTTATAAGAAATAATCATTTTAGTTCTGTATATACAAATATATTTCACAATATCAAGGAAAAATATGATCTTTGCTAGGTAGTTAATAAGGAAGCTTAAAAGTAATTTGTTTCAAATGAACTGTGTTTAAATCTTTACTGTGAAAGTCTTACATATGTCCTCCCTTTTTCCCCCATTGACCCCTTCTGGCCAGCCCTGCCCCAGGCCTTCACCATACTATTGTCTGTGTCCATGGGTTATGCATATATGTATACCTGTTCTTTGGTTGATCTCTTCCCACCCACCCACTCACTCCTGCCTTCCCTCTGAGATTCAACCATCTGCTCCATGCTTGTATGAACTACAATTAGATTCACTGATCATCTACATATCTTACCAATGGTTTCTCACATTGACATTTGTTCTCAATTTTTAATTTTATCTTTAGTTTCTGTATGGTATATACTGTTTGCCTCCCAAAGGCATCGTGGCTTTTGTTGTATGTTTTTTCAAAAGAATTTTAAGTCCAACTATACAATTCACATAAGAACAATCAAATGAGCTTGTGTAATTATACTTTGGGGCACAGTTGTCCACTCAGGGTGTGACTTCATATTTACATTGACATAGCTTTGAATTTTTGTGCTGTACTTCAATTTAATTTTTTAAAATAAAAGCTTTATTGAGATGCAATTCACATATCACACAATTCACTTATTTAAAATACACAACTGGGGTAATAAGGACACATATATAATGTGTCCTTATTGAAAAGAAAAAATTTTCTTTTATTGAAAAGAATTTTTTCCCCCTTTTCAATAAAGAAAAAAAAATAACTCAATGGGTTTTAGTTTATTTCTAAAGTTGTGCAATCATTATCAGAGTCAATTTTAGAAAATTTTCATCATCCCAACAACCGCCTTCCACATCCATTTAGCACTCACTCACCACCACACCCTCCAGCCCCAGGCAACCACTACTTACTTGCTGACTCTCTAATTTTTCCTGTTCTGGGAATTTCAAATGGATGGAATTTGTTACTTTTTTTTTTTTTTTTTAACTTATCATACTGTTTTTAAGGTTTATCTACGATGTAGCATGTATCAGCACTTCATTTTTATGGCTAATATTCTATTTTATATTCTATCTTTTATCCATTCAGTTGATGAGCATTTGTATTGTTTTCAGTTTTCGACTGTTAAGAACAATGCTCTATAAACACTCATGTACAAATTTGTGTAGACACATATTTTCGTTTTACTTAGTGGAATTACCGGTTGCGTAGTGACTCTGTATTTAAACTTTTGAGTCATGCTAGGCTATTTTCCAAACCAGTTTTACATTAGCATCAGCACTCTAGCAGAGTTCAATTTCTTCATATCTTCACCAGCACTTCCTATTGTATTATCTGTCTTTTTTATTAGAATGGGTGTGAAGTAGTGTCTCGTGGTTTTGGTTTCTCTTTTGCTAATGGCTAAAAGATGTTGAGCATCTTTTCATGTTCTTATTGTACATTTGTATATTTTATTTGGGGAAATTTCTATTCAGATTCTTTGCCAATGTAAAATCAAATTATATTGGATTTGAGTTGTAAGTCCTTTATGTATTGGGGGTGCAAGTTCCTTTACTAGATCTGTGATTTGCAAAATTTTTCTCCCGTTTCATGGGTTTCCTTTTCATTTTCTTGAAGTGTATCCTTTGAAGCCAACGTTTTTAATGTTGATAAGTCCAGTTTATTTTTTTTTCAATTATTGCTGGAACTGTTGGTGTCATATCTAAGAAACCATTACCTAATCCAAGGTCATGACAATTTATGCCTGTTTTCTTTTCAGAATGTAATAGTTTTAGCTTCTGCATTTACATCTTTAACCTATCTTGAGTTATTTTTTATATGTCTGAGGTAGGGGTCCGACTTCATTTTTTGACATGTGAAAATCCGATTGTCCCAGCATCGTATGTTGTAAAGACCATTCCTTCCCCCATTGAATTGTCATGGTACCTGTGACAAATTTAGTTTACTAAATGTAAGAGTTTATTTCTGGACTTTAATTCTGTTCCATTGATCTACATGTCTATCCTTTTGCTAGTACCACATGGTCTTGATAATTGTTGATTTGAAATTGGTAATTGTGAGTGTTGCAACTTTTTCTTTCAAGATTTTTCTTTTGTGGGTGGCTATTTTGGGTCACTTGAATTTCTGTATGGATTTTAGGATCAGTTTGTCAATTTCTGCAAGGAAGTCAGCTGAATTTTACTGGTCTTACTTCATGAATACCTATAATATTGTCACTAGGAAAAGAATTAATATTTAATTTAGAATAATTTTCCATTTTTCTCTTTTCTTTTGAAAGACCTGTATGATATTTCTATCTTCTCCTGCTGCCCTAAGATTATTTAAATGCTAATATCTCTTTTTATTGTGAGTCACCTATTGGTCAGTTAAGTAGAATTGTTTTTCCTAATTGCCAAGATACACACCAGGAAATTAAATTTTATTTGCCTAATTTGTGTTTAACAAACAGTAATTTTATCTTATTTATATTAACTTCTCAGATAAAACTTGGAGAGATCATGTAATGAGAGATCTAACAGGCAGGGCTCTATGAAGTAGACAGGATGACTGGACTCTTGGGCAAACAGCTAATACTTCCTAAAGCTCCATTATCTCCAGGGTGTAATTTTGCAATCTTATTAAAATGCTTCAAGGGAAGATATATTACCAATAATCATTTATTATTTTAGCCATTCCATTATTTTCTAAACAATTTATTTAAGAATAGTTTTTAAATATAAGTTATCTACCAAACATAATTATTTTGAATTAAAATAAGCAGGATGAAAAAACTTTTAAAGAAATTAAAATAGAATTGAAAGGGTGTCTGGTGCACCAAAGCACTCAGTAACTATGGGTTGAATAAAAGGAAAGGATGAAAGGAAACCCCTACATGAAGTCCCTACCTTGGGATGACTCTAGTTAATCCCTCAATTCAAAGGGGTAAATCCTGCTTTCAGGGTAGATTGGTTTTTTTCTTCTTCTTTTTTTCTTCAGTGTTTTCAATTTCCTTAAAGGATAACCTGAGAGTTTCACATTTTTGCAGTGTGTATGTCATGGTTGGTGCAGATGTCCCGTTTTCTTCTTGTTTACGGGAAGTGGAAAACCCACAGAACCAGTTGAGATGCAGTCAAGAAATGGAGCCTGTAATCACCTGTGATAAAAAATTTCGTTCTCAATTTTACATTGACTGGTGCAAAATTTCGCTGGTGAGTTTTAATTATTTTTTTTATTTTTTTTATTTTTTATTTTTTGCAAATGTAATTAGAAGTGATGTGTCAGGAAGATAACATTTGACTAAAGCCTGAATTGCTTTTAGGAACAAATCCTAGGTTTACTTTGTTAACCAAAATTAGTAGTTGGCAAGCTCATTGGCAGTGGTATCCATTTAGGAAAGAGTATCTCCACTTTTGTTCTCAGTCTACCCTTGATTAGTTGCTGAGCTGGATTAGCTCGGCAGGTGGTCTCAGTGCGCACCCTGGACATCCAGGTGGTTGCTACATCAGGATAAATTATGGAGTTAGTGTGGCATGTGTAGAAGGCCTCAACCGTGCTGCCACAACCCCAGTCTGGAAAGAGAGATCAGAGTCCAGAATGGACCTGAAAATAAAGCAACATTGTGCTATGATCCAGTGTCCTAGAAACTCACATTATAGGGGGAGTTCAAGGGATAAGGAAAAACATTCCAAGTGAGGAAAGTTAGAATTTTACCCACACCCCCTTAAAAATCAAATCCTTCTTTCTAAACAGCTACGGAAGACTGAGTGGCTGCATTCTTAATTTAAGTACAAGCCTCTAACCAGAATCAGTAAACAAAAAGTGGTCTCTAACAGGGCCATTTTTCTTGTGCTTATGCTGCAAAAAGTTTATGTTTAGGAACATTATCTAATTTCTAAAGGTTTAACAGTGATATTCTTTGAAGCTTTTAATTTTTATGGTAAGACTGTATAAATACAAAGGTTGTGTTATATCTTACCATAGAAGACTTCAGGAGGTTTAAGTGAAAGAATCACTAAATTAGCAGAATAAATGAAATATAAGAGAAATGGAAAATTAGCCTAAATTTTACCCCCCAAAAAGTAAGCCTCTATGACCGGTCTGGTTCCATGGTTGAGTGTTGACCCATGAACCAAGAGGTTCCATTCCCCGTAAGGGCACATGCCCAGGTTTTGGGGTTGACATCCAGTAAGGGGCGTGCAAGAGGCAGTCCATCCCTGTCTCTCTTTCATAGATGTTTCCATCTCTCTATCTCTTTCCCTTCCTCTCTTTTTAAAATCAATTAAAAATATATATATATATTTTTAAAGTAAGCCCAAGGTCATGTTTGATAACAAGCCTGCTAGTGTCTAGGATTAAAAAAGGAAATTCATTAGTTATTTCATTTTCATTCTGAAAGGAGGCAAAGCATGAATTCCTTGGCAGGAAATAAAGTTTTTACAAGCACTATATTGTTAACAAAATTCTTCAATGGGGTTTTTTTGGAAGAGGATACCGAGAAATGCCACAAATAATTCCTCCCAGCCTTTTTGTGGCAGGGAGGGGAGCAAATGGAGTAACACATTTTACGTGGCTTATTCTGTTGTGGTTTAAAGAAGCCCTTGACATAATTAAATGCGACTCAGTGAAAGTGGTCCCATTAATGTGGAGATAAATGAACAGAGCACCATGTGCATTCTTTGATTCTGGTATAAAATTTAGTAAGACGATTGCGTTGGGTGGGTCATGTGTATTTTAGACCAGCGTTTTTCAACCACTGTTCCGCGGCACACTAGTGTGCCGCGAGATGTTGCCTGGTGTGCCATAGGTGCAGACAAGACAAGAATTTTATAATTTTTCACTATTTTGTTTACTTAATATTTTGTAATAAAGTAATTATAAAATACTTTCTTTGTGTTTATTTGATTCCTATTCAAGAGAATTACTTTATATATAGTCAATATAGGCACAGAGTTAAATTTTTTAACATTTTCTAATGGTGGTGTGCCTCGTGATTTTTTTCATGAAACAAGTGTGCCTTTGCCCAAAAAAGGTTGAAAAACACTGTTTTAGACTACCTTTGCAAAAAGCTATTCTGTAAACTGGATGCCAGAAAGATCAAGGTTGTAATCATTGAGAAATTGCCTTTCATTTTGTTCTTTTCTCTTTTGCTAACCATGGAAACCATACCCACATACCTGGTTATCAGCAAGCTTATGGTTTGTTAATATCTGCACTAGAGGTTTGTCATTAGGAAATAAGATTACATAGTAGTGTGAAGGACACATGCACATACATGCATATGTATGTATGTATGTATGTATGTGTGTATAGATAATGAGCAGGACATGGAAAGTAGGCCAACATAAGGCCTTCTATGTATTACTTTTATTCACTACTTCTTCCCAGCTCTCCTAAAAAATTGCAAGTTCAAGGGGATAATGCAATTAGAAAAGACTGTAGATATCTGTCAAAGAATGTTTGGTATGTCTAGATCTTAAAATCTCATAATGTTTGCAGCTATTAACTTGATTTGTAATTGTCTTCTTTTGTATCAGGTTGATAAAACAAAGCAAGTGTCCACCTTTCAGGAAGTGATTCGCGGAGAGGGGATTTTACCTGATGGTGGAGAGTACAAACCCCCTTCTGATTCTTTGAAAAGCAGAGACTATTACACGGATTTCCTAATTACATTGGCTGTGCCCTCGGCAGTAGCACTGGTCCTTTTTCTAATACTTGCTTATATCATGTGCTGCCGACGGGAAGGCGTGTGAGTACTTTAAAGACTAATAAAAATTATAGAGCCTGCTAGGGTAACTACATATAAGATTCCATTAAAAGCCAAGTTTCATTTAATTCCTCAAACACTTTATAAATGAATTGAAGTTATGTTTCAAGTCAAACTATAGTCCTTCATCCCTTTAAAAATGAATTAAAATAGTTTGGAGTCTAATCAAATTAGGGGATATAATTACTTTATCCACAAATTATTAAGGCTAGATGTAAATTCATGCTGGCAAAAACAGTCCCAACAATAATGGAGGCTGCCTAGTTTGGTTATAGAAACCACCTTTGTGTAAGCAGAGACTTAGGACTCTATTGCCATGGTAATTGCACTTAAACTAAATTGTCTCAGTTTGATCAGGAATGATGGTCAACATTCTTCTTGAAATTGTTCTGTTATTAAACGGTGTCAATCTAAATATTTAACTCTTACACACACACACACACACACACACACACACACATATAAATGTAAGAGTAAATTAATGAAAATAAGGCTATCATTTGAGTAATGAGTATTCAGTTCATGAACAGTTAGTACTTTCAGAACATCTATGCCAATTAAAATAATCTCCCAAGATTATTCAGAAGTCAGAGCAACAAAACCAAGGATAAAAAAATTAATAAAGCAGCAAGTAACAAACTTACATTTTCACATGTAGCCTGATTTCATCATGTCATAGAATTGATTTCCAAGAGCTTGATTCCAATCTCCTTTTTTTTTTTTCTTCTTCATGTTTCTGTATGTTTCTCATCGGTATTCCATCTTTGTGTGTGTACTCATCCAAGTAACGTCATGACCCTGGTGGCAAATGCTGCCTGGTGGCATTTAATAGTGACAGTGTCAGCATTTCCACGTCATGCAAGATCCCATGAGCATATAGTCTTAATGTTCCAAATATCAATGCTATTATTTAATTCATAAATTTTGTTTTGTTTCTAGGGAAAAGAGAAACATGCAAACACCAGAGTAAGTGTCTTCTTTCCTGTTATTTTCTGTATCATTTTTTTTCCACTTCTCAGTTGCTCATCATGCTTCTTTACATGTGTGTCATGCTTTTGTCCCCCCATTTTTCATCTTTCATGGTTTATTTCATAAATGTGAAAGCTGCTTTCTAAATAGAGATATTTAGGAGGGGTAGAAACTAAACATTTTAAAAAAGGTTTTTGAAAACTTAAGATTATACCGATAAAAACTAAACTTAAAATATTTCAGATTCAGAATATTAACTTGCCATTGATATTATGTGATTTCCCAATCTGCATTTCTATAAAGCAGAGAACAGAGGAAAAGACCTTTCATACACGTTTTCCTGACTCTACAATAATAGCCTACCATAAAATGAAATTTCTGTGAGTATTTATAAATGCCCCATCAGAAGCAACAATATAAAAGCTCTGGTAGTTTAATCTTAACTGTAGATAGTTTAATCTTAAATAGACTGCTAGCTTGTTACTTAGGGCTGTAATATTAACACAGTGCTTTATAGCTTAGTTTAATGAAAGACACATTTAACTAAAAATTAATATATAATTTTCAATTTTGCTATGTTAGAAATATACAAAATGTATCTTTTTCATAGGTAATGTGTAGAAAACCCAAAGTGCAATAATGTCCTCCTCTTTTAAAAGTTAAAAAAAAATTAATTTTTTTTTCAAATTGATGACCCATTGAGATACTAGCTGATATTAAATATATGTTGCTTTATTTCTTTTTGACCTAGCATCCAACTGGTCCATCATAGTGCTATTCAGAAATCTACCAAAGAACTTCGTGACATGTCCAAGAATAGAGAGATAGCCTGGCCCCTGTCAACGCTTCCTGTGTTCCACCCTGTGACAGGGGAAATCATACCTCCTCTCCACGCAGACAGCTATGAGAGCACTAACATGCCACTGATGCAAACACAGCAGTAAGTATCCACTTGGCACAGTGATTATGCATATGTGTGAAGGTGTCTAGCTAATCTCTATAAAGACCAGAGCTTTTTATTATCGGAGCATTTTTTGTTTGTTTGTTTGTTTACAATGAAGATAAAATACCAAAGGACATAGATAGTGTAGATCCCAACTCTACTGTGCTGACCAAAATTAATAGAATTACTTTCAAGGAATGCTTTCTTTTTTCTTTAAGAGGAACAATCCAAACAAGTTCACATTTACCTTAGTTTTTAAGAAATTGACACAGATAATAAACTAACATATGTTTGTTCAGAGATGAGTTAATTGTGAAAAGAGAAACATATCCAAAACATGACAAATTATTTTTCAGTGCTATTATTAGAATTATTTGGTTCTGTTAACCTATTACTTTAAAGTTATTATCACAAACCGATTTAATCTAAATTGTTCTTTGTGATCTGCTTGTATGTCAGAACAAGTAGTTCCAATTTTGGCTAAAAAATACAGTGGGTTAGTGCAAACCTTCTCTGTTGTGTTAGAACATAGTCAGAAAGCCTGGACAGAGTGGTAGGGGGAAGAAGGAGTGAGGAAATTATCCCATTGCTCTTTAGAACACCGTGTTACATGCCTAGATCATTTTTTTATGTAAGTGAATTGTAGGTAAAACTGTCATTTATTTTTAAGAAGATGGCTCTTTTTTTTTCTTTCCTTTTTTAAAACTATATGTTAAAAAGGATTAAATTCCATGTCCCCAAGTCACAATTTTGATTTTGAGGTCCCCCCCCTTTTTCTTTTTTTTTTTGTAGATAGAATGGATATACAGGAAAATTTCCTTTCTCACATATACATAAACCATAGGATATACAAAAATAACTTCTTACAGGTTAAAGATTTATCTGTGCTTGATGCAGACATTTTCCCATTGGGATGGTTATTTTGCAACCATGTAAAATGCATTGAATAATTTGAAGATTAGATGGTAATTACTATGAGTGGTATGGCCAGTCAAACTCAATACATTTGTCCAAAAATACTTTATAAATCTAAAAGTATTGTATTTTTCTGAATTCAATGATCATTTACTTAGTGTTGAATAGGCCAGGGTGCGTATCTGCATGTATGCATGAAAACTGACTCACGTCCTATTAACAGTGGGGAAAATCATGTGATTTAAAAGTTCAAGTTTTGGAAATGTTAATATTTTATTAGGAATGCAAATACTGGAGTCTTACAAAGTTTGGTTCTACTGAATAGAGGGGATGGATTTCTATGTTCTCTGAAGGTTAGTGAGTTATCGCAGTACCCACTTTTCTAGGATTAGATACTAATGAGAAAATTTTAGTATTATTGTAATAGTGTATAATTTTAACCATCTTTCCTGCATTTTTTAGGTGAACATTATAAAAAGCCTTATCAGTTATTTTTCAAAATGAAAAGAATTCTTTAAGGCTATAATTTCTTATATTCTTTCCCCAACCCAAGACTTGGGATATATATATATATCCTAAAAACTGAAATGATCAAATACACCTGAGGGAGAGATTTGTGTTTAGATTTTTAAATCAGAGGAGTTCTTAGAGCCTTTAATGTCTTGATATGTTTTAAGACTCCATGGGGAAAGGCCAGAAGATGGAACTCTTTAAAGAAGACAGTATGGGATATTCTTCTATTGACAATATAACAGTACTATTAGATTTTAGAATAGAGAACTATTGGTGATAAGTAGGGAAATTTAAATATGTTTGTAAATCAGTAAAACTCTATTGCTGGTGAAGTTTAAAGGAGGGGAAAGGTTGTACTATTTTTTAGATATCCTTTCTAACCAAAGAATAAGAATAGTTGCTTAAAAATGATTTTGATTTCTTTTGATTAGGGTTTTGCAATGTTTCTACTTATATACAAGCAAAATAAAAATTTCTATCTAGTTTACAACAAATGGATCTTCCTGGTCTCTCTCTAAGCCCATGAAGATTGTCATTATGTTGATCAGATCTCTTTATCTGTAAATGCAATAGGTTATTTTATTGAACTTGCAGCAATTTGAACCTATATGTATTTTTAAGTCCAGAAAATATTCATATTATTCAGAATTCTGTTAATGGCAGACCTCCATTAACTAGTACTTCTATATAAGTAGGATACGTAGGTAATTGATGATATTCACAATGATTACTCTGAGACACTGCGAGGTCATCAAGTGCATCTGACTCATCAGAGGGAAATTAAATTACATTCCGTGTAGTTTCAGTGTTGAATGTATATTATCTTTTACTCTTGGAGATGGATAAAATGTGCATGGTCTCTATGGTAACTCCCTATAAGCTAGAATATGTGATTAGCCTCATTTTCCAACCAAGCCAGATAATAAGAAATTTATTTTTATCAGGTCCATCACAGCTGTCCTTTATGCAAATTCATCTTTTACCCATTATCTTAAAAGTATAGCCCTGTCTCTAAAGTTCTGTTTTGGTACCAAGTACACACATGTACTAGTAAATATTTGTTCATTTGAATCTAACTGAATTCTAAGCACAAAAGTGAGATATTTGATGAGGAATTGCAGTACTTGATAATTGAGTACTAAAAGAGCATGCATTTCACTTTCACATATTCATATTAACTTGTATCTATCACTCATAAATAAGTTGGCTAGATACCAGATTTTGTGTTTATTCTTCAGACTCACTACCAGAAATATTTAAGCATAAGAGAGTGCCTTCTAGGCAAGACTCAAGAATGTTGAACATGTTAAGTGCTCAGCCTGTTTTGTCTTCCAGATGGAAAGTATGATTGACTGGGTGCTTAATGTATTAAACGCTGCATAGAAACTTATTTGAATCTTTTAAACAAGTTAATCCATGAGGTATAGAGAACTCTATACCAGTGTAATGAGGAGCTGACACAGTTGCTTATCAATTATACAGTTTGTTTCACTAAAGGCCCAGTGCACAAATTTGTGCACAGATGGAGTCCACTGGCTTTCCCCAATTGGGGTGGGGGCGCCAATTAGGCACAGGCTGGTAGGGGTGGGAAGGATGAGGGGCCCTGCCCCCTGGTTGAACTCCCAGTTGAACTCCTGGTCAAGGGGACAATTTGCATATTAGCCTTTTATTATATAGGATTATATAGGATTGCTTTAGGGTGTATGGGTTATTTTTGTTTTTGTTTTTTCTTCTTCTTCTTCTTCTTCTTCTTCTTCTTCTTCTTCTTCTTCAAATGCTTCACAAATTAGACAGTGACAAGTGTTTCATTATTTGCAGTTGACATGGATAAGAAACAGAATTAAATTGGGTAAAAACTGAGATTAGATTATTTACTTGTCTTGGTCAAGTCAGGTATAGATATGTGGTCCTTGACCTGAGAAAGTCAGAAGATTCTCTGATCCAGGTTACAGGCAAGGTGACTGACCAGACAGTGGAAAGCAACTGGAGATGGAACACATGCTGAGAAAGGAGGGATCTTATTTATGCAGAGGTCCTCTCCTTCTCAGATGACAGAAGCAATGCAAAACAGCTGGTTAAAAATATCACAGAATAGAGAAAATGTAAGGCAAATTTAATATGATCTTTGCAAATGTTATTATTTAATAACTTACTATTTTGCAATGATTTTCAAGGTACTAGAAAAGTCTAGCCTGGTTGTCCCAAACCAAGTTGAAGGTCACACTCACATGTGGAGCTCTTATTAGTGCAGGACCCTCCTTGTAGGGATTTGGAATGCTGCCTGGTTAATATAATTCATTAGGGATTTGGAATCTGGTGGACATGTGTTATGATGGAGCAGGAAAAACAGTTGAAAATCCTTGATTTGAATACGTCAAGGACCCAGGTTTTGGGATTCAGAAAGCTAAGATTGGTGTTCCTGATATTTCTGTTGGGGGTGGAGGTGGAGAAGGGGTCTTACATCATGTCCTAATTCTTCCTGAGGGGCACGTGCAAAAGAAAGGTGTGAAAGGGGCAATCTGGCACATTTATTTAGAGTGTTGGGGCTGTTTGTGGGTTTGTGCTAATCAGCCTCTAGACTTTCACACCTCCTTAAGCTGCCTGAGTAGAATGGTGTGGAGAGGTGAGAGGAAGAGAGCTGATTAGAAAACAATGCCTGAATGGTGCAGAGAAATGCTAAGCCTTGAAAAGCTACTAACCACTGGGACATTGTACTCATTTTGCAATTTTATGGCAGGCATTGATTGGAGGATGCCAGATAATCAATTTTCTGAAAAAGAACTTATTCTTAAAGTTGTAATGTTTTATTATGTGGTCTTTCAGGGGTAACTCTGCCTTCTCATTATTCTTTACTTAAACCAACATCAATGTCCATCAATTTTTCCTGAGTGGGAGGCATCTTCACACAGCATTGAATGCTATGCATAGTAGGGGAAATTGTCCAGACATTTTCTAGGAAGATTTTTAATTGGCTAAACAAAAATTTTCCTTATTCATTATACAAAACATACCTAATCCAGAGTAATTGGGTCCCACTCATAACAGGAGGCAGGTTATGCTTAATCTCCTGCAAATTAGCATGTATAAAAGTAGAAATAGGTCTAATTAAATATATTTTGAAACAAATTATTTTAGCTTTTATCTGAATATTTTTTCCATTTGTCTTTCCTTGTGGAAAAATAAAAACTAACTTAATGATAAAATTCCATAAATAAAGAGTTAGGTTTCAATAAAAGTTAATATCATTTGAAGAGAATCTTCATGGCACCAAAATAAGAGATAGAACTAAACTAGATTTCCTGTTGACAAGAAGCCACTATTTTTTTGTAGTCAAAGAGTAAACACTGAAAGCAATAAATGGATTATCTCTTTGATGGGTTTTGCTTGTATAGGTTTGTTCTTCATCATTTTAAAGCTATGGTATGCTTACTTTTGGCTTTCTACAGGTAGGGGGAAAATTAAATTATTGACTGTCTCCTTTCTTTTTTATGCATTGATTTTAGTTAAAATTAGGTTTTGAAAGTTAACTTTTGTGGTGATTCCAATTTCCTTGTGTCCTCCTTCTTTAATCCACATAATGGCCTGGTCCCTTAGTAAAATTTATAGGGTCCAAATCAGCAAGGTTTGGACCATGCCAATTTTGCTGAAATAATTGGGAAATTTCAAAAATATATTACTAGGTCTTATTGTTAAGTGACTCCATGCTAACTCAAAAAAGAGAAATGTTTTGTATTCCACATATCTAAACTATCACTTACTTTCAACACTGGCACAGATTATATGACTTTTATACAAATCACCTAACCTTTCTTTGCTTTTGAGTCTTCAAGTAAATAAAAATATAATAGGCTGATAATCATCAACCTTACTCATAGAATACTCTGCAGGATATCCAAGAATGTTAAATTACCTTAAAATGGTTGTGCAAATAATAAATAATTGCATACTCCCCCCAAATCACTTATTTATTATTTTTCAAGTTACTACCTTTACCTTCTTAAAGAATGAAGTATGTGCAATGGCTAATTTACATAATTTTCTATTTAAATGCATGTAATTAATGGCAGCGAAATTAAAAAATAATTAATACTAGTAATTTAGAGAGTTACAGTTTCCTTAAGTTTTTTTCCTACATAATGCAGTTTACACATAATAATTGTTCAGTTAGCCCATTAATAACTTAATTACTTTAAATATTTTTATGCCTATATAAAATAAATGTCCTTTCTTTGAAGGATTATAGGAATTTTCTTTGAAGTCAAGCCTGCTTTCACCAAAGATGGAAACGGTTCCATTTTCTGAGTTCTCCCGCTTCTTAACTATAGCAGAGTTTGTCATAGGCATTATGTCATAGATAGTGCTCTTATCTCTCTTCAAGTCTCAAATGGAATACAGTCTTCAGATATGCCCATCAGAGATAATATTAACACTTAACACTCACAGGTTCACATGTAGTCTCAAGTTGGGTGACCACAAAAATAGAGCTCTTGTGTGCACACCCAGGAGACTCTGGGAAGTTGAATCTCCACATATTTTTGTTGAGCACTGTTTTACACATATAAGCACTTTCAGATAACTCATCTGAGCTTCAGTTGAAGTTGCAAGGAATGCATGTACATTGTTGAAACTTAACCACATGGGACTCAAGATCCTTTTAAATTCCCAAGCCAGTGTGATACACAGAGTTGCTTTCTTATATATCTCCTTAAGCTGTCTTGTAAGTTTGTATACATATGGCACTTTCTCAGTCAACCATTTATCTTCAAACCTTGAAGTCCATTGCTATGCAGGAAGTTTAGTAGTGTAACAATAGGAAAATATGGAGTCTAGAGAAGAAATGACAGGGCCTAGATTAATTTTGATCTGTGTTTTTCAAATATGTTCTTGCCATAGAAAGGTAAGTTGGGCTGACCAATGGGAGAAGGGGTTCCAAAGATTTCACTGAAATATTGATTTTGAATTTTTGTATCCTTGATCTACATCTTCTGAAGGGTTTTCTCTATCTTCTTTGGTATTTTTATTTTGTCCAAATTTATTGACTTAGTGAATAGGTTAGGTAGAGTTACAGGTGATAGGAAATGAGGAAGGGTGTGTGTTTGGAGGGGGGAAAAGGGAGAACTGCATTAGTTTCTAACGTAGAAAAAGCTCTAATTAGTTTTACCTGAGAAATAAAAACAAAACTCATATTTCCACCCCCAAGTGCCCATGAAATTGCATTTTTACTTTTGTAGTAAAGATGTTTGTCTTCTCTACCTTAAATCTAAAACTTATTTCCTCTTGTGCTTTATAAATTAATCTTACTTTCATCATCCAAACCACGAGAGACACATTGTGTGAGATGGAAAGAATAAACAAACCAAAAGAAAAAGTCAGAAACACCTCCCTGAGACCACCCAAGGATAAGTAGGGCTGATAGGTAATAACCAAAAGGAATGTAATTATTGAGATGCGTTATTAAGTAACCTCCTCAAATTGAATTAGAATTGATTTTGTTATTTCCTTAACAATATATTAAAATGGAACTGATTTTTTTTTAAATCACTCAGAGTCATTAACATTCCTGTCCATTAATTTAAGAGTTTAAACACCATTTAACTAGTATGTACTGTTTTCCATTTTAGACTTTTATATTTGGAACATAATATTTGCCTGGCTGAAATGATTTTAGATCAGTGGTTTTCAAACTTTGCTTCTTGGAGGTTTCTCAGAAATGCCAGAGGGGCCAGCATGTGAGGCAGGAGGGATTTCCAGCTCCCTTGTTTCAACCAGGGCAACCTCACGTTTCTCTCTTTTGTACATCAAGAGTTCTGCTTAGGATTTCAACAAAAGCAATTCCATTGCTGAAGAGAAACAAACGAACAAACAAACAAATAAACAACAAAAAAAAACATTGAAAATTCCTAACTTGAATCAGACTCTGTTGCAGAGCTAACTCCTAGAATTTATTCCATCCCAAATATAAATTGTACATTTTTAAAACGTATTTTAGTATCAAAATTTGAAACTAAGTGGATATTTGTGAGCGTTAATAAGCAAATGTGTATTATGTGAATCTTTGTATATTCACTTTTGCATGTATTCATTCAAGCTGTATTTATCTCATGCTTATTGTTGAGGATGGCTCTTACTATTAAGGCACTTTGGGGCAATTAAACATGGGAAGGAAACACAATGACAGTCCGCATGGAAAGCAGGCTAAATGGTAGCCTATTTGGGGTGGTGCTTAGAGAGTGGGGAGGCATAGAGGAGGCAATAGTTGAGAAGCTGTTTTTTAATTAAAAGTAATAACCAATTAAAATTTTGTTAGCATTCCTGTGGGATATTTTAAAATTCTAAGAGTAACAAATTTTGAGTTGACGTTGCAAGGACAGATGATCTGGAAGGGTGCAAGAAATGGGAGTGGGCCATGGTGCTGATGGCTGTTACAGGCAGTCAGGGAGGCCTCCGTGCAGGGTCCAGATATACTGGTGGCCGCTAGGGCTCACTAAAAAACCCAAAATTTAGTTTGCAGGTAGGTGTAAGAATACAATGAAGTGCATGATATTTGAATGACTAATGCAGATTTGTGTCTTAGAACCGTGGTCGGCAAAACTGTGGCTCGAGAGCCACATTCAGCTCTTGAACCCTTGAGTGTGGCTCTTCCACAAAATACCATGGCCTAGACGAGTCTGTTTTGAAGAAGGGCCATTAGAAGAAGTTTAAGTTTAAAAAATTTGGCTCTCAAAAGAAATTTTAATCGTTGAACTGTTGATATTTGCCGACCACTGTCTTAGAAGATTGTCTGACAGCAACATGCCCAGTGGTTATAAGGGAGCAAGAGTGAGCATGAGGAAGCAATTCAGATCAGTTGCAAAGATCCCGTGAGCAATGATGATAGCTTCAACCAAGTAGCAATGAAGCTGGGAAAGAAGGGGACAGGTTCAAACAGACCGAGGAGAATAGTCAAGAGTTTCCAAGTGACGGGATGTGAGGCTAAAGAAGAAGGACAGGTCAGGGTTGACTTCTACATTTGGACTGGTGCAGTGGGCGGATGGCAGCTGTCACTTCCTAGATTGGGGATAGAGGAGCACAGGTTTCACACAGTGAATGAAAATGGATATGGATATTTCTCTGTGAGAGTATGAGTGTGTAATTAAATGTGTTCTAGACCTGGATCTGAATGTATAGGTTACAAACATAAGCCCTGGAGCCCCTCTGTGCACATCTTTACCCACCACTTCCTAGTTATATAGCCTAGGACCACTAAGCTTGTTTTTGTGTTTTAATCTGTAGACTGGGGAAAATAATACCTACCTCCTAGGCTTTGTTATGAGGTAGAATGTAGCATGCAATAGCAACTCCGTGAATATTCTTAGTATTGTTATTATTTGTCTTCCTCAGACCTCAGTTTCCTCATCTATCAACTCATGGCAGGGAGGGGGGGGAAGGGGGAAATACTAGATTAGATTATTTCTGGGTTCTTTCTTGCTATAAAGGTTTTCATTCTAATGTCTGCCCTTTGTTTACATGTGTGTAAGCAAACAGTTTTACTAAAAAAATGTTTATCATTTCTAGGAATTTGCCACATCAGACTCAGATTCCCCAACAGCAGACTACAGGTGAGTGCTCGATGAATTGATGTGCGAATAAATTGATGTTTATGGGTGAAGTTAATAGATTAAAAAATAATAACACTACGTAATGAAATTTACAAAATTTTAGCTTTACCAAATAAGGCAAAATAATTGTGTCATTCCTTAATCAGAGTTAGTACTTCAGCATAATAGCCTAGATTATTACATGGGTTGGCATCAGAGTGATGAACACAGGGTAAATGCTCTAAGAGAAAAAGCATCCATGGAGATCCTGTCTAATTAAGGAAGACCAATGGAACCCCCTTCCTTCAGCAAAGCACCCCATTCTTCCCCTTGGTGTGTAAGATTCTTGGCTTAGATGCATCCAGGATTTGTCTCAGTAAGTGAGCAGCTTGAAACTGACTCTTACAAAAGGAAACCATCATGACTAATCACTGAGGCTTCAGAGGGATAAAGGAGAAATGGCTGGCCTGTTCGGATACCACTTTTAAAATCTGTGATGACATGACCCATGACAACAAGATGGCGGGCAATTCTCCTGGGACTGTTCTATGTCTCTAAGATTTGCTTTCTTTACCTTTATTTCTTTCAACTGTTCATATAACATTTCCACAGCCAATTATTTCATGCATCTCGGTACTGAGTAGGTAACTTATTCAGGATTGACTTCTAGTTAGTGGTTGAATCTCTAGTTCTAATTGCCAGGCAACCAGTAATGCCTTTTTAGTGCTTTTGGAAAAGCAAGAGAAGTTTTAAAAATGTAAGTTGGATGTGGAATTCTGAGTATGAATAGTGGTGTTGTGGTTAGGGGCGCTATGAAGTATGTCTCTTGAAAACTTTAGGCCCATATAGAAATGTATTGGATATTTTCATTCAAAAATTATCTTCTCTATTACTGCTTTCGGGAATTTAAGGAGATTTTCGTTTGACAACTTTTCAAAGATTTGAGGCAAGTATAATGCAGTTGTTCATCAGATTCTAATTATGAGATAACATTTATCAGAATTTCCCCTTACAATTTTGGTTACTTGTTTTAATTAAATGCTAATATGTTTCAACAAGATTGTTCAATATATCGATGTAAGCATTCAGGAGATTGATGAAGGAACAAACTTTGTTATAAATAGGTTATCTAAAGAGCAAAGAAATAAATGAATTTCCACTACATCTAATTACATGGCTTTTTTTTTTTTAAAGAGGAAAAATTTTAAAGAATATTTCTACAATGGAAATGCTAACACTTATTTTTCTGTCACCTCATGGACTTTACTCTGATTCTTAATTATTCCAGGCAAGGAATGAATAGAAGGAAGATAATTTCTGGCAAAATAGAAATATTGAGTATTTTAGGGGACATAAGGAAATATGAATAGATATTAGAAAGATTTACTTCATAGTTATATAGATTTTTAGCAAGTAGACCTGTTAGCATGCTTCGTTTTAGTAATAGGCAGTGTTTCCAAATACAAGAACAATTTGTGCCTAAATAAATGTGGTAAGAGCCAAAGAATTTCCCAAGGGGGATTTTAGGTTGTTCAGTTATTTTTTACAATTATTTTTCTAAAGCAGGTTTTGGGGAGCAGACATGTTCAAATCAGGAAAGCTTTGATCTCCTTTTCAGTTAATACGATAGCCTATTACCTTCTTGTTTTCTTACATTTTTTCTATAATTTCGAGCATATTATTGACTAAAGTGGGCTATTTTATCATGGTTGTTTTCTTTCTTCATCTGATTTTCAGTGAGTCTCTAAAGTGCCTCAATACTGAGAGAGAGAGAAAGAGAGAGAGAGAGGCTATCCTAGGCATGTTAAAAAAATAATTGTGATAGATTGTTGCGTGTCTGCTTCTGATACATGTGAAATCAAATAGAGTCATGTCTCCTGGAGAGAAGGGCTAGTGGACAGGTTATATTCTTTATTCGCATTCTATTCATTTGAATGACAGAGTCTGTTACTCAGTCTCTCAGTTGGTCTGTTCTGTCTGACGTGCATGGATCCGGTGCCGTTAATGCACTTTCGTGGGTACAAGCCCTTTTCTGTTCCTCCCTCCCGATCCTAGTACCACCGAGAGGCAGCAAGTTTTGTGCAAGAGTATCAGGAAGGAATCATTGCTTTTCTCCAGCACCTCACTGCACTATGTGATGTGTCAGTTTTCTTGTCTTTTTTTTTTAATTAAATGTGTTGGGTGATAGTGGTAACAGTATACAGTTTTCTTGGTGAAGGTCATGTAAGCTCAGAGTCTGTCTCTTGGATCCCACGTCATTTTATTTGTACCTGCCTATAGGAAATTGGTGAGGGAAGAGTATATTTTGAAGTTTGTTTTATTTAGTTGATTGCTTTCTTTTTAAACGACCGTCGGAAGTTGAGGAAATGAACTAGCTGTGGTGCGTAATCCTAGGCTTACGTGCTAGCTAGCGAGGGTAATAGAGCAGTGACAAGCAGACAATAAATAACCCTTGCTTCTGAACCAGGCCCAGGCCATTAGGATGGATGCCCTTCGTTTTTTGCATTTTTCTCAGCCCTTCCAACCCACCTGATATTTTCTAAAAAGCCATGATTAAAAGGTACAGTCCTATACCCCACAGTCAACCCCGCATTCCTTTTGTTCATTGTGGGAGGAATTTTCAGGCTTGTGCCTTCTGGCAGACACAGAACATTATAGCTCTGGCCCTAGAAGGAGAGGACTGAATGAGAATTTTTCCTCTTTAAATTTTTTTAAAACCAAACGCAGAGAAATTATTTTAAATTATGTTAAGAGGATAGGAAATCACCCCTTGCCATAATATATTTTGCTCAAAATCTACGAGTGTCCATGCCCTGACTAACGCATGCCCATATTCACTCTTACGCATTGCAGGTAAATGGTATCCCTGAAGAAAGAAAACTGACCGAAGCAATGAATTTGTAATCAGACAATATAGCCGTTATAGCTTATTTCTTCTCTCTTCCATAATGCATGAGCTTTTTCTGGCATATGGTATGCATGTTGACAGTATTAAGTATATACCAAATAATTCAATATAGCTTTCATTTTACTAATGTATTTCTTTTGTACTTAAAGCATTTTTGACAGTTTGTAAAACATCAATGACTTTATATTTGTTACAATAAAAAGTGATCTTTAAAATAAATATTATTAATGAAGCCTATCTAACGTCTGGTGAAATTTACTTCAGAAAGTAGTTGAGATTTACTTCAGAAAGTAGTCGATTGCCTCCTATTATAGTAAGAAGCTGTTGTTGCTAAGGGATAGGTTCATGTGCTCATTCTTCGTTCAATGAGATTTTATTAAGCATTTCCTATACATATATAAAATGTCCATGCTCTTTGTTCTAAGTGAGCAACCCATTTAAATAACACTTTTCACTTTTATCTGTGTGGCCCAGAAAGCCTGTTGTCTTATACATCACTTCTTGGAGTGTCTGATAGGGTAGGTGTGGTTTTATGGAGTGTGGCTCTGAAGGCACCCAGGTTGTGGAAGACAGCCCAGGGTGCACAATGATCAGAGGAGCAATTGCTCCAAAAGAGAAGGGTTACCTATTGACGGTGACCTGAATGAGCTCCAAAACCCCAGGCTCCCCTGTGATAACAGTACTTTCAAGGCTTAGCAGCGTTTCCTTATACTGAGACAGTCCGCTTCATGCATGTTCAGTTCACGTTGCTGTCAGGCCATCTAGCAGGGCTGCAACAAACAGACCAGGCCAGCCAGAAAGCCTTTCCTTCCTCTGCTCTGGGGGGGGGGGGGGGGGGGGGGGGTTCTGTGTTCCCTGTTAACTGCTCAGAGGAAGCCCAGATGCTTCCTAGATCTGATCCCAAAATCCGAAAAGATTCCATGTGAGTAATGCATGTAACTACTTGCCCTCCACTTAGGAACAATATTCCATCATGTCCTTGACATTGGAAATCCTGTCCATACTCCACTTCCTGGGATTTAATGGAGGATATAGGTTATTGGATTTCCTGAAAAGTATATCTCCTATTCTTATTTCTTTCTAAGGCAACTAGGACCCTGCTACTTGCTGCTCTTCAGGACTGATTATCCCAAGGTTGTAAATATATTGGGTCGGGCTCATGTACTAGAAGGAAGGGAAGGTCGCTATGGGTATAGATGACTAGATATTGGCACAGCGGAAGAGAATTCGTGAACTGTTATTCCTGCCAAGTGATAGCAAACTGTTCCTGGTAGTCCAAGTGAACAGGAGCAAAGTAATGTATGATCCATAAATCAGGAACTGCAGATTAGGGATCAGGAAGTTTATTCATCTGCACTGGGAAAGAGGCCACTGTAGGATTAAAACATGCGGTTGGAAATAGCATCAGTTTTTGCACTGACCCTATTGAGGAATTAAATGGGGGTACGAAGAATCACTGGCCAGCATCTTCCAAATCTTTGATAAGTGCCTTACTCTCTGCAATTTCCTCTGAAAAGGCGATCTTACCTCTGACTTTATATTTTGACAGGCAGAGTCCAAATAGTTTCTCACTAGTTGTTGCTACCCGAATGGGCCTTACTTGATGGGTCAAAAAGAATGTGAAGACCCTGCCACATGTTGAGGATTTCTATCCCAACTAAACATCCTCATATTGGGCAAATGAGTTCATGGTGAGTTTGGAGTCCCTGTGGTGAACTTAAATTAGAATTTTTTTTTTCCAGTTGGCTACAGTAATGTTTTGCTCTAAAAAAACAACTATGGTTCTTCTTTGCACTTACAGGAATTCACGAAACTCAGATCTAGATTCAAAATATCCCTGAAAAGCTTGTGACTTTTCCTTCCTCCAAGGTATAGTCTAGTCACCCAATAAATTATGACTTCTCTTTGGGAACATTCACATTTGTAAGCTCAGACTGAGATGATAGAAAAGAGCATTAGATAAAAACGTTAAGACTGAATTTGAGGCTAAGAGAATACTTAAAAGATAATAAAGTACAAAACAATGGCAAGGTCAGAACCTCCAAGTACAGATATAGCAAATAGGCAGGGTCTGTCTGACCTCTGGGATCAGTGGTCTAAGATTTGAGCTATT